CTATCTATCTATCCGTCTGTCTGTCTGTCCGTCTGTCTGTCCGTCCGTCCGTCCGTCCGTCTGTCCGTCCGTCCGTCCGTCCGTCCGTCTGTCTGTCTGTCCGTCTGTCCGTCTGTCTGTCTGTCCGTCCGTCTGTTTTACGAAACAATTCAGCACCCCACCCAAAGTTTAACCACTTGCTGAGAGCCTCGTCATCTTGAACTGGTGGCTGTTCGTACGTGTGAACATCGCTGATATTCCGCATAATTGAGGCGAAAATGCTAGGCGGTGTGTTCAGTACATATATGCATAATCTGAAGAAACTAGTTTTTTTTTTTTTCAGGCTGCGCTAAAAATGCGACGTTATGTACGAAAGGAGGCAAGTAGAAGACTATCGTCTTTATACGACATTTGCCGCGAGGCAGGGAAATCAGGGGCGGATCCAGCCACTCATTTTAGGAGGGCGGCCACTTGCAGTAACACTGAAAATGGGGGCGTGGCCATTATTTTTTGTTTTTACTACCACAAAAACTTTCTCAGAGCATAAATACAGTTAATGTGTGCTCAAAGTGGTCCCACTCGTTGGTCCTAATTGAGGATAGCAGATGGACGGCAAGCACTGAATAGAAGGGCGGTGGGGAGTGCTGACAGGGTTTGAGGGGGAGGGGCGATCTCCCCTGCCCCCCCCCCCTCTGGATCCACCACTGATGGAAAAACACGGCCAATTGATATTTTTTGTTTGGTTGTTTTCGCTTTCGTCAGTTGCGGTGAGCATGCAAGGCAAGAACCTCCCTACACCGTTCATTCGAGCCCAGCACGACGACATCGAAACGACACAGCTATCACACGTTCATTCGCACACACACACTGGAACTGAGATGCATTGTGTCTGGCCACCCCTTATACCGGCCATATCGAGCGTTTGTGATAATCGGTTCCCGACAGGGGGCTTGACGGCCACACAAAGAACTCGGCTAAGCGTCGTGTCAAACCCGCCACCACCTAAGAACTTCACGCGAGTTGACGTCTGTCCAGAAAGCATTTATAACGTAGAAGGGTGTGTGTGTGTGTGTGTGTGTGTGTGTGTGTGTGTGTGTGTGTGTGTGTGTGTGTGTGTGTGTGTGTGTGTGTGTGTGTGTGTGTGTGTGTGTGTTTTAGTTAGGGTCGAATTGAATAACACAGTGTATCGATACAAGGTCTGTAGTCTCCCCATCCGAGACCGCACACCGTGATCTTCTTCTTCCCCAATACACGCACAATGGACACTCAACTCTATATACTTACAAAAAATGAAAGAAAAGAAATAAACAGCAAGAGAAAAGACATGCAAGTGAGTTTTTTTAGGCGGTGTCTCATTCATTCTGCTCAATAAACAGCTAATCAGCGAATACTTTGTTTCACAATGCCCACAGAATGCTTTGCTTCTCTTAATGCAAGCGTAGTTATCTCAAACCAAAGAAACCGTAATTAGGTCATAGTTAAACGTGGTGTATACTACTTCTGTAAGGGTTCACGGAAAATGGGTTCAATTAAACGGCAGTAAAAACAATGTCGACGGCATCCTCGGCCGCCCTCTCCGACCAATAAAACTGTCAGAAACTATTTAGAGTTACTTAATGAGCGCTTTCGTATCATAGTAAGAAAGGTCTGCTTGTTCACAACTACTTAACTCTACGAAATGAAATACCGTTTTGGTTCACATATAACAGTTCCCTGGCTTTCCTGGTTTAAACTATAATGGGGCGTTTTAGAGTGGCACTCTTTTATAAATTAGGAGAGCGGTCACGACACGTCAAGTGGTAATGGCGGAACCAGTCTGAATACCCAGCACACCAAACGTCGTCTTCTTCACCGACTGAGTCATACCCCCTGCCTTTCTGAGTAGCACTCATCTTCTTCACTACAAAACAAACGTCGAGAGATGCGCTACCAATGCAGCTTTTCAAGACCTCGTCACTTTGACAAGGAACTCCAAAGGACAAACGATTTTAATAGCAATGTAACCATAGTTGATATACAGCTTCTGAAAACTTGCACGTACCGTACTTACTCAAATCTAACACGAGTTTTTGTTTCTTCTTTTCTTTCTGTTTGATTGATATGTGCGCCTTAACGTCCCAAAACCACCATATGATTATGAGAGACGCCGTAGTGGAGGGCTCCGGAACCTCAGGTGGCCGAAATTTCCGGAGTCCTCCACTACGGAGGACTCCGGAATTCTCAGGACTCCGGACGTGCACTTTTCTCCGGGTTCTCTCGTGCTCCTCTGGTCACCTACTCGGCGTTTGGGACTGTCTGAAAAACTGTTGTCGCCCTACACTGGACCATTCCGCATCGTTCGCCAAGTGACAGACGTCACGTACGAGATTGTTCCAACCGATCCAACAAAGTCATCGTCAGCTCCGAGCGACACCGTTCACGTGGCTCGGCTAAAGCCCTATTACCCCCCTTCGACATCATCTGCGTGAGTTTGGCACCGGGACGGTGCTTCTACCGCCGGGGGTTATGATACAAAACAGCCGCTAAACACGGCTGCATGAAAGAGGAGGACGAAGTGGGTTTTCGTTTGATGCTGGTCTGGCGCCATTTCGAGTTCTGTGCGCTGTAAATAGATCATTAAACAAGTTACTCGTAACATTATGGTGGTTTTGGGGCGTTGAACCCCACATATCAATCAAAATCGATGTTGAAAGTTTCACTTATAAATTTCCCTCCAACGTCTCAAATGCCGACGTCACAAACTTCAAAATGTTCACTTTTTTCTTTCCTTTTTTTTTTTGTGCTTCAGCCTCATTGGCTGAGCAATATTTCCTGAAACTTGGCATGCTAAACTTCCAGCTCCCTTAGAAGAAAATGCACTTGACTTCGACTTATTGAGAAATAACCAGTCCCCCGTATATATAGACGCCACCAAAATCTCTTACAGTCACGGAGTTAGAGCTCTTTTATATTTTTGTAGCACGTATTCTCACTCATCTAACGTCTTCTTGCAGTAAGCTTTTTGTGCTCGGCGTCCTGAAAGAGTAATGTACTTCTAAAACCCAAAATGGCTTTTCTCTTTAGGTTCCCCTAAATTATGACCGCGTACTGACATTCACCTCAGCACTTTATTCTGTGCGGAATGTACGCTTATATGTTGTTGTTGTTGTTGTTGTTGTTGTTGTTGTTAATGTTGTTGTTTTGTTTTGTTTTTACAGCGAATGCTGTTATGAGATCACAACAAGGGTGACTTGTTGCGCCGTCGTTCTCCGCCGCCGCCGGTGTCCGTAACCACTATCGCACTAAATGATAAAAGAAACTCACAATAAAAAACACCAAGGATACAAAGAGATTCGCATTCGGGTCCACTGCGTACCAGCCCAGTATTCTACCACCTAGCCACGCTTTCAAACTGGCATTAGGCAGGCTTGATGTCGGGAAGTGAATCGCGTTAATATGAGCAATGAGGCGTTTTAGAACAGCAAAAGGAACAACCAGGTGTCACACAATGAGAACTGTGCACCGAGTGTGTCGTCGACTGCTCTAATTAATTACAAAAGCTTGCTCTTAATCCACTATTGACTGTGGCGCATACGCACTTCAGGCATCGTTCTTCATCGTCGTCAGCCGCTGCATAAAAAAAAAAATTGCACGAAACTCCTCGCAAGTGTGGAGCGGCTACCACGCATACCCGAAAACTGACGAAGCATGGCATAGTGAATGCCGGCCTAACTACACAATGATTGGTGGCGTAGTGCTTGCAGCCCCGCCGCGGTGGTCTAGTGGCGAAGGTACTCGGCTGCTGACCCGCAGGTCACGGGATCGAATCCCGGCTGCGGCGGCTGCATTTCCGACGGAGGCGGAAATGTTGTAGGCCCTCCGTGTGCTCAGATTTGGGTGCACGTTAAAGAACCCCCGTTGGTCGAAATTTCCGGAGCCCTCCACTACGGCGTCTCTCATAATCATATGGTGGGTTTTGGGACGTTAAACCCGACAAGTCAATCAGTGTAGTGCTTGCAAACGTGCTTGCAGCAGCTACCCAAAGAGTGTTAAAAAATGCCGTGTTTTCGACAGTATCCCTGAATAAAATCAATCAATCAATAAATTGCATCACCGCTAACAGCGACTTGAGCACCGTCTAGAAGAAGCGGAAGGCTTCGACAGTATCCCTGAATAAAATCAATCAATAAATAAACTGCATCACCGCTAACAGTGACTTTAGCACCGTCTAGAAGAAGCGGAAGGCTTCGACAGTATCACTGAATAAAATCAATCAATAAATAAACTGCATCACCGCTAACAGTGACTTGAGCACCGTCTAGAAGAAGCGGAAGGTTTCGACAGTATCCCTGAATAAAATCAATCAATAAATAAACTGCATCACCGCTAACAGCGACTTGAGCACAGTCTAGAAGAAGCGGAAGGCAGTCAGCTGATAACGCAACGCCACTTCAGGCCTTTCACTCGCGCCGGCCGGAACCTGCCCCGTCCCAGGTGTTTTCCAAAGCCCCTCGCGGCCTCGTAATCGAGAGAGAGTTACGAAACCGTGAGGCGGGCGCCCCGACCGAACGGCATTACACACATTACTAAATATATCTCTCTAAAGGCGAGGGTCGTATAACCAGGCGTATACTTCCGATCTCTCGTCGGTCGAAGACGAAGTAGTTGAAGCAACTGAGGACGAGGAAGAAAACGAGAGAAGACGGAAAATGGCGCTAGATCTTAAACCTTAAGTACTGCGCCCTCGCAATGACACAACGAAGGTTAGCCAACCGCGTACCTGTAGATACGTCGTTATACAGCGTGCGATAAATAGACACGCATTTCCATCGCAGGTTCAAGTGTTGGGGAGATGCGACCCAACTGCACACTGTTATGGAAACGTGTCCACCATTCGGAGTCCCTATCCTGTCTTCTCTCGATTTTTTTTCTTTGCTCGTGCTGAGTTGCGCCAGAAGTTTCTCCTTATCATATTGACAAGTTTCGTTGTGCACCAACTCTCCCAACGTTACACTCCGCCAGAGGAAAGAGTCTGCGCTCACCAGTAGGATAAGGGTAGTCGACACAATTGACGTTCCACGTACAGTCGTTCTCGTGGCAAGGGCTGGCCGCTACAACGAGCAGCGCAAGCAGCGTGCACCAGCGCAAGCATCCGCGGCACAACCACCACAAGCTCCGCGCTGAAGACGACCACGTCGTCGAGGCGACGCCGTCAACGGCGTCGACGAGACGTCCGCCGCGGCGTGGAGAAGACCGGAGCGCCGACGTCTCGACCATGGAACAACCGGGAACCTCAAGCACATGGTCGTGGGCGCGAGACGCGCGCCCCGAAGATCATCAAACGTTGCAGCGATTGAAACCGTCGGCTTTGATCACTTCACGGCGTCCTCGTCGTTGGCGTGCGCTGTGATATCATTAGTCCCAAGCTCGCTCGTACTTTCTGTTCTGCAGCGTCAGCGCGCTCCATCCAAGCCGACCACCCTGGTCGGCCGCTACCGCTCTTTTACGCCGCTTTTTACGCGCGGAAGATGCCGCCGCCGAACGTTGATCGTACGGTCGGTGGGGGGCGTCGTTTACGCAACCAGCGAGCGAGCCCGAGCTCTTCACCGTTTCCGCGGCGGGTATAGCCCTCCCTCTCGTCACAGAGCACGCCGACTCCGCACTCTCGCAAGTCGGCGCCGTTCCCTAGTTCAGTTCCCTAGGTTTCCACGCAGGGGAAAGGAGGGAAGAACAAACGAGCACCCGACACGAGCTTGTCAGGTGCTTCAGTTTTCTTTATTGTACCTGTGTCAAATCCACGCTATCCAGTATTTAGGACGATTAACCAACTACGCCAGCAACCGATTTCGTCAGAGTGGGCGGATGCTTTTCTCTCCCCCTTCCATATCCTCCTCTGTCTCTGCTGATAACAAACATAAGCAGAACAGGCACCCGTTATATCCGTGATCTGTACGGTGGCAAATTATGTTGCCGAGGTGGTGAGAGTTGGAACTGACGTTACGAATATTTGTCCCAATTGAATGAGGCGGATAGTATTTCCAGGCTTTGGCATTCGATAAGTCTGGGTATTTGCGCACATTTCTTGCTTTGTGTCTTAAAATTTAGCGTTACGACGCGCTATGGTTATAAGCTTAGCCTCGAAGGTAAGTCTCAAACTATGAACGTTCTTATGGTGATCGTCGACGTTTTTGCGATATTTACACGTGACATTTTAATTTTAATTTTAACTTTATTAAGTTTTTAATTATTATAATACAGAGTAATTTCATTAATACGACTCTTTTTATTGTTTAACCTTATTATAAAACAATTTAGCTAATAAGATTCTGCATAATACCTTTCTCGGTCTAATACGTTTTCCTTTTTGCTCCCCTGGCCAAACTCTTTGCCTAATACTTTATTTCCAGCACAACATAAATATAGCACCAACGAGATTCCCATGTAATTTGCACAACTATGGCTGCCTCCTTGTTACCATTTTCTGTTCACTGTTGCGTGCTCCTTCTGTAGCATAATAACTGGGACGGGCTACGGCACTTTGTGGGGCATTAAATATGCCCAGCTCTGCCAACTTATCCTGCATGCTTGATTATAATGAATGAAGGAAGGGAATTCTGAGGGTTCGTTTCTGTGTTTGACACGAAGAATAATGAAAATCGACAAATAATGAAGGCAACAAACAACAAATCCTTCGCCTAATTGTGACTGATTGTCTCAATAGAGTCGCAGATGCAGGGGTTCCCCTTTAGGAGAAAGGAGAGAGGAAGGCTGACTTTGCCCCCCCCCCCTCCTTCCGTGGGCACGTATACACCATTCTCTTTGTCACAACGCGAATGGACTCCGTACTGTCCCCTCTCAACTTCGCGCCTCTCCCTAGAAAAGTCCCTAGGCTGTCGAAAGTGGGCGGGTGCGGTCCTCTTTCTCATACCCTCCTCGGTCTCGGCTGATAACGGCGATAAGCAGCAGGGCAGGCACCCGTTGTATTCGTTACGTATACGCTGGCGTAGTATGTAGCGGAGGGAAAGAAAAGAGGGGACCCGCGCGGGGCGCCGGAAGTGGCGTTTTCCTGTCGAAAGCCACGACTCGGATTAGAAGGGGGGAAGAGGGTGACTGAGAGACCGATAACGAGTGGAGAGAGTTGGAAGGCGCGTACAATAAAAAGCTCTCAGCGGCACGGTTATCGAGAGAGAAACTAAAGGTGACGCAGATTGGGCGCTGACGTGATGCGGTGGCAAATTGTATCAAATTGAAACGGCCGGCAGATTGTGAATAGGTAGAGTTCCGCTGCTCCCTCCATCCAGCCCGAGTTTTTCGTCGTGGGTTCGAATCTTCGTCAGCGACAGCGCTGGTGTTACGGTGCACGTGAAACGGGAAAGATGAGATATTACAAATGGAAAACTACTCTGGGACACTATACAATCGACTTCAACCTGGCAAAACTAGGTGCCGCGTTCTATTCGGTCATTTCAGCAACGCAGGTGGCGCCATGTAGCCGTGCTCCGAAGCTGCCACACGGTGATAAACTGCGACGCAGTTCGGTCGTGACATTACCGTCTCGTCCGCCATTTCGACCTACCACTGCGCCGCCTATAGTCGCTGAAACGATCGAATCGTGCGAAGGCGAAAGAAATCTTTTGCTTCCCACTTTATGGCATTGATATATCTTACATTTACTTATTACATCGGTCTCGACTTTACGTTCGCAGACAACGCCAGCTTGTTGCTCACAACCACCGACACCGACACTAGAATTTCTGCAAACCGAGATCTTTAACGCTATTGCATTAAAAGAGGGCGTCGCAAGAGTAAACATTTCGACAAGAGGTCATGCCTTCGTCAAGAATTCCTCAACGAGGACAACTCCACTAGTCGGAACGGTGTCTCCAGTGACATTACCTGTTCAACGATGTTTCCGTGACTACTACAATGCAACACGGAGGCTAAGGACACTTGAAGTTGCCTCATTGCAGCTATTATCTTAAAGGGGCCCTGCAACACTTTTTGAGCATGGTCATAAAACGCTTCCGATCGGTAGTAGAGGCTCCCGACAACACGTGAGCCAAATATTATAGCGTAGCACGTAACTTGGAATTCACAATAAATTATCAGTCAGCTAAAAAATCATTTCTCTTCTCCCGACAAATCACGCAATACGCCCAAAAATCACACGTTGCAAGCCCATCTATCAGCCATTAGCTGATTTGAATATGGCGCGCTCTCTCGTTACAGATATCGCCGCAGGAGGCTGCACCTTGTCCACGCGTGCGTGCGCAATCACACTGGGAAAGCCGCGCATTCGAAGAAAAAAAAAAAGAAAAAGTGTTCAAGGTCACGAGGCACGCGCGATGTTTTTCTGTGGCCCTGCCCATCCTTCCCTGCTTAGCTTACAGCGCTTTCGTCTGGACGAGGGAAGGGAGAATGCAATTGCAGCATGCGACAAACCTTTGTAACTCCACTCGCACTGGGCGGATTCTGAAAATTTTTGCGGCGCTGAATTCGTGAGGCAATGAGCTCTTCCAGTGAATTCATTCTTTGGTTATCTTTGGTTACTTTCAGAGCCCTTTTAGCATCCACCACGGCAAAATTCGTATACGCGGAATGGTACCCCTAGGCAAAAGAATTTAGTTATAAAAAGAAAGAAAGAAAGAAGGAAAGAAATGAATAAGAAAGAAAGAAAGAAAGAAAGAAAGAAAGAAAGAAAGAAAGAAATGAATAAGAAAGAAAGAAAGAAAGAAAGAAAGGAAGAAAGAAAGAAAGAAAGAAAGAAAGAAAGAAAGAAAGAAAGAAAGAAAGAAAGAAAGAAAGAAAGAAAGAAAGAAAGAAAGAAACCAACAAGTTGAGACGACTCGCCTGCAGAGCTGCACTCGAATCTGACGAGGGGGACTCTGGCATATGATATCCGGAAATTACGAAGTATGGCCGTCTATCGAGGCAGTTAGAACCACCTCTGCTTCACAAGTCAACGAAGCGCCTGCAGGTTGTCTGGCTCCGACTGCAAATCGTTCCCGTGGCTGCACGTATATGCATCACAATCGACCCGCATTGGTCGCATTGTGGGTCAATAGCCACACTTAGTTGGATTCTCTGGGACGGCAGGGAAAATGACCCCCCCCCCCTCATCTCTCTCAAGGTCCTGGCCCCACCGTTGCCCGAGGTATGAAAGGATGTCGTCAACCTGGCAGTTCAGGTCCAGGCAATACAGACAATACCGAGGGCCGAGGTAGTGGCGGTGGCTAACATTTATTAAAACAGAATGGTTGCAAGGAAAACTAGCCCCTAATGGGTCACCTGCCTTACAATAATACAAAGTGGAGTCTCTAGTCAAGGACCTCATGGGTCGCACCCGCTGTCGTGGCACGTCGGACAATGGCTCGTTGGGCCGGAAGTACATTGCAGCCGAGCAGGGTCGCTTCCCAGTCCTCTTTGGTTGGATTGTTGTTCGCGGATAACGAAGGTTTGAGCTGGGATACCCGTACCATGTGGTAGATGTCAGCAACTTCCGCACAGTACTCGCAGAGGCCGGAAAAGGAACAGCCAACATGCTTAAGCATTGCCTCTCACGATAGCGACTAGGCGGAGCAAAATTCTGTAGCCCACCTTCCTGAGCCATTTTCTGCAGCCCACCTTCCTGAGGAAAGCTGCGGTGGGAGTCCCAATAACGGGTAATTATCTCTCTAAAAGCCAGAAGAAGAGCGATCTCTCCCGGACCACAGGGGTCATCGGTCGACGAGGCCCCGCTACTTGCTTCACCCGACATCACAGGATGCACGGTAAAATGGCGGTGGCCAGTGGTTGAGCGGAGATTAAAGCAGGTGGCTTCTAGGGCCCGTTTCACCGTGAAATATTCTTTTATGACCCTATCTTTATATCTGCATGGGCATATTAGACCCTCTCCAAGTTTTCGCCTAAAACCACAAATGCTTGGTTGACCGTGGCGTGGCCTATTTAAACCAATGCACCGGAGCGTAAAGTTATTTGCTTTGTTTATTTTTTTTAATAGCGGTGATCGCCTTATGTCACAGACAGACGGATGGGCGGACAGTTTTTCTCGTGGACTCGGCATAGCCGTGCTTAGGCATCCTTTTAAGGGGCGAAGCTCCTTAGGCCGTGGGTCGTTCCCTCTTCCGTATTTATGCATGTAGCTACCTCTAGTTTGCTCAATACGTAGTGATGTGTGCATATTTTATTTATTTTATTTATTTACAGAACACTGCCCATCCCCCGTGGGGATTATTACAGGGGTGAGCATCACTGTCACAACTTTCGACGTTTGAAAAAAAATATCGAATAATAAAGAACATATAATCACTGAACACAGCAGTACGGCATAGAACAGTCATACATAGTTATTTGTACCATAATCAAGTACAAAGTACTTCAATGGTACACCGACAAAGAAACAGGGGTCGATAAGAAACGAAGCATAGAAAGAAGAAAACACAGATTGGGTATTATCATCAAGCAAGCGTATAAACAATAAATATATGCAGACAAGTGCTTTCAATTGGAAGCAGGAAGGACTGCGTGAAGAAAAACAGGTGATCACTG